TTACTGTTTTTACTGTATTTTTGATCAAATAAATGCAGCCTTGGTGAGCGTAAGGGACTTCTTTAAAAAACATTTAAAAAAATGGGTACACTTTAAGGTGTCCTTGTTACAGTGTAATTATACATTTAAGTACTGAATAATACTAACATGTACTTACTATATAGGGTTAGGATTAGGTTTTGGCTTAGGGTTACTTGCATGTAATCATGCATAATTCACTGTTATTATAATAGAAAGTACATGTAATGTGTAACAAGGACACCTTAAAATAAAGTGGTACCAAAAAATCTTACTTATTTCAAACTTTTGGCCAGCAGTATGTGTTTTTGAAAGAATTCCCTTGGTTACCAAGGCTGTACATATCTCTCTCTCTCTCTCTTCTCTACAGGGAGAGAGAGAGAGAGGAGGGAAAGTGCTCCTTGGCCTTTCCACACCACACTCACCTGCTGTGGCCTTTGTCTTTCGGAAAGATTCGGAATGTTTTGTCAAAGCTGGCGGATACAAACTCCCTTCCTGTAGGTGAATAATCCACATCCAGGACAGCGGATACATGATCCATGTGCACATTCACAGGAACATCCAGATTCCTTATATCATAAGTATAAAGGCTGTAGAAGAAACAGATGACATGATTTCATATGATTTATTTACTCTCATTTTATTTTTCATGTAAAGGTTTAGACTAAAATGAACTCACTTAGTTATAGTGTTCGTTGGCGCAGGTAAAATAATATGCTTCCATTGGGTTCCAGCAAAGCGTATTGCTGCTCAACTGCATGATAACCTGAAACACAGTGTCATTTCATTATAGTCATAATAAATGGCACTATTCAGCCATGTGGGCAAAAAAGTAAAAATACTGTAGACCCTTCTAAGTGGTGCAGATTCTCTGGTGCCATACAAGACGATACTTCGGTCTGATGCGCAGCTGGCGAGAAGTTCAGTCTGTAAAGGGCAACAGGGCAATCAGTGGTTGATAAAACCGTTAAATTAAAGGAATGTGTGACTTTTGGTTTCTAGAAGTAATCTTTTACTCTCACGAACCACTTGGATGGTAAAAACCTCCAAATTTTTCCTCATAAAACAAAATGCTTGAAAACAGTGCTGTATTATGGTGATACCCAAAAACCCCATGGTGGTCACCGCTGCGCTGGCTTTGACATATTTGAATCATTGTAAAGCTGCTTTAAAGCAATGCATATTATGAAAAGATCAGCTGAAGTAAACTGAAATTAAATGAGATTGAAATTCAATCACCTCCTCAGGGTTGTAGCGGATGCAGCTGAAGCGGTCCACACCCCAGCTGAAGGAGCGGATGGGACTGCTTCTCTGCTCATCCCAGATATCCACCGTCTGCCCGCAGGTTACGAACGTGCCCTCCCTCTGGTGGTGATCAATGCCAGTGAACACCACCTGCAAGACACATCAGGCCTCTTACAAACCGAAAACCTTACAGAACCCTAAAAGTGTGTGCATATTTATAAATATGACTAAATATAATTTAGTGGATTCAATTGTGAAACATACCCTAATTATTAACTAACAGTATTACTTGGTTTGTATATGTATTTGTTGTAGTTTTAATATATTTAGATTAGCATCTGATTTTTATTGTATCTTCAATACAAAATGGTGCTTTTTCTATAATAATCCAGACTTTTTTTTAATTATACTTTTTCATTTTAGTTCAGTAAAATTGTGAAATACTATTAGAATTTAAAAAGTTATCAATTTCGGGTTTCTATTCAAATATATTTTAAAATGTATTTTATTCTGCTGAATAATCAATCAGCAGCCATAGCTCCGGTCTTTAGTGTCACATGATCCTTCAGAAATCAATATAATATGCCTATTTGCTCCTCAAAAAACATTTCTTATCAATGCTGAAAAGATACAGAAAAAGAAAGAAAGAAAGAAACATTAAAGACATTTATAATGTTACAAAAGGTTTCTATTTCAAATAAACACTGTTCTTTTGACCGTTTTACTCATTAAAGATATATCCTTGATATTTATTATGGTTTCCACAAATATATTAAGCAGGAAAACCATTTTCAACACTGATAATACTAAGAGTGATTATCAATAACTTAGCACCAATAATAATTGATAATAACTGAGCTTCAAATCAGCATATTAGAATGATTTCTGAAGGATCATGTGACAATGAAGACTGTTATTTTAAATAATAATAATAATAATATTCCATAATATTATTGAATTACAATATTCATTTATTTTTGGTCAAATAAACGCAGCCATTTCAGAATTTTATAATAATTATATATATATATAATCTTTGATATAATATGTGTAAAATAAAACTGTACCTTGCCCAGGCTCCTCCCGAACTCCATCTCCCGGTGCCTCCACGTTCCACTGTCTGATGGTCTTGTCATCTACCTGTTGCACGACATGAAGATTTCACAGAATCACACAACTGCACAAGCACTTACTAACTGGATTGTCTTCATCTAGATCAAGGAGGAATATGGAATATGCAGGATTAAAATACCGTGCAAAAAGGAAGTGCCACAAAAGCGGGAACAGACTCCTCGCACAAATCCTTCATGAGCCTGAACTGTCCTCAAACACTCCCGCTTAGGAAGGTTTCACACTTTTTCAGAATCACGAATCCACGCAATCACCCATACTAAACCTAGAAGGCCATTTGCACACTCTTTTGACATATTGGGAAAAATAACTGCAAAACTGAAGTTCATTAACTGTGTCCTTTGTCTTATTGTTTACAGTATTGTTGTATGTTGGGTGTGCATGTTGTTCTTAAACATAACAGTGACTGCGCATGCTCAATACAAGAGCCTAAATGAGCTCCTAAAAGAGCCATAATACTCAAACAGCATGGTAAAGGCTCCTTGGCCTTTCCACACCACACTCACCTGCTGTGGCCTTTGTCTTTCGGAAAGATTCGGAATGTTTTGTCAAAGCTGGCGGATACAAACTCCCTTCCTGTAGGTGAATAATCCACATCCAGGACAGCGGATACATGATCCATGTGCACATTCACAGGAACATCCAGATTCCTTATATCATAAGTATAAAGGCTGTAGAAGAAACAGATGACATGATTTCATATGATTTATTTACTCTCATTTTATTTTTCATGTAAAGGTTTAGACTAAAATGAACTCACTTAGTTATAGTGTTCGTTGGCGCAGGTAAAATAATATGCTTCCATTGGGTTCCAGCAAAGCGTATTGCAGCTCAACTGCATGATAACCTGAAACACAGTGTCATTTCATTATAGTCATAATAAATGGCACTATTCAGCCATGTGGGCAAAAAAGTAAAAATACTGTAGACCCTTCTAAGTGGTGCAGATTCTCTGGTGCCATACAAGACGATACTTCGGTCTGATGCGCAGCTGGCGAGAAGTTCAGTCTGTAAAGGGCAACAGGGCAATCAGTGGTTGATAAAACCGTTAAATTAAAGGAATGTGTGACTTTTGGTTTCTAGAAGTAATCTTTTACTCTCACGAACCACTTGGATGGTAAAAACCTCCAAATTTTTCCTCATAAAACAAAATGCTTGAAAACAGTGCTGTATTATGGTGATACCCAAAAACCCCATGGTGGTCACCGCTGCGCTGGCTTTGACATATTTGAATCATTGTAAAGCTGCTTTAAAGCAATGCATATTATGAAAAGATCAGCTGAAGTAAACTGAAATTAAATGAGATTGAAATTCAATCACCTCCTCAGGGTTGTAGCGGATGCAGCTGAAGCGGTCCACACCCCAGCTGAAGGAGCGGATGGGACTGCTTCTCTGCTCATCCCAGATATCCACCGTCTGCCCGCAGGTTACGAACGTGCCCTCCCTCTGGTGGTGATCAATGCCAGTGAACACCACCTGCAAGACACATCAGGCCTCTTACAAACCGAAAACCTTACAGAACCCTAAAAGTGTGCATATTTATAAATATGACTAAATATAATTTAGTGGATTCAATTGTGAAACATACCCTAATTATTAACTAACAGTATTACTTGGTTTGTATATGTATTTGTTGTAGTTTTAATATATTTAGATTAGCATCTGATTTTTATTGTATCTTCAATACAAAATGGTGCTTTTTCTATAATAATCCAGACTTTTTTTTAATTATACTTTTTCATTTTAGTTCAGTAAAATTGTGAAATACTATTAGAATTTAAAAAGTGATCAATTTCGGTTTTCTATTCGAATATATTTTAAAATGTATTTTATTCTGCTGAATAATCAATCAGCAGCCATAGCTCCGGTCTTTAGTGTCACATGATCCTTCAGAAATCAATATAATATGCCTATTTGCTCCTCAAAAAACATTTCTTATCAATGCTGAAAAGATACAGAAAAAGAAAGAAAGAAAGAAACATTAAAGACATTTATAATGTTACAAAAGGTTTCTATTTCAAATAAACACTGTTCTTTTGACCGTTTTACTCATTAAAGATATATCCTTGATATTTATTATGGTTTCCACAAATATATTAAGCAGGAAAACCATTTTCAACACTGATAATACTAAGAGTGATTATCAATAACTTAGCACCAATAATAATTGATAATAACTGAGCTTCAAATCAGCATATTAGAATGATTTCTGAAGGATCATGTGACAATGAAGACTGTTATTTTAAATAATAATAATAATAATATTCCATAATATTATTGAATTACAATATTCATTTATTTTTGGTCAAATAAACGCAGCCATTTCAGAATTTTATAATAATTATATATATATATAATCTTTGATATAATATGTGTAAAATAAAACTGTACCTTGCCCAGGCTCCTCCCGAACTCCATCTCCCGGTGCCTCCACGTTCCACTGTCTGATGGTCTTGTCATCTACCTGTTGCACGACATGAAGATTTCACAGAATCACACAACTGCACAAGCACTTACTAACTGGATTGTCTTCATCTAGATCAAGGAGGAATATGGAATATGCAGGATTAAAATACCGTGCAAAAAGGAAGTGCCACAAAAGCGGGAACAGACTCCTCACACAAATCCTTCATGAGCCTGAACTGTCCTCAAACACTCCCGCTTAGGAAGGTTTCACACTTTTTCACCTGTAAGAATCACGAATCCACGCAATCACCCATACTAAACCTAGAAGGCCATTTGCACACTCTTTTGACATATTGGGAAAAATAACTGCAAAACTGAAGTTCATTAACTGTGTCCTTTGTCTTATTGTTTACAGTATTGTTGTATGTTGGGTGTGCATGTTGTTCTTAAACATAACAGTGACTGCGCATGCTCAATACAAGAGCCTAAATGAGCTCCTAAAAGAGCCATAATACTCAAACAGCATGGTAAAGGCTTTAAAGTGTTACCTCCCCATCGCAGGCACCAGAGATGATTGTTGACAGGCTTTTGGCGTGTTTGGTGATACCATCTCTGTGTCCATCTAGTGAAGCTACAAAGGGTTTGGCAAACACCCTCTCCAGTTTAGTGGCATTTAGGGCCCTGGTGTATTCTCTGGGCACTTCAAAAGGATGCAGGGTCGGGTAATTCTAGGCACTAGATAGGGAACACATTACAGTTGCTATACATCATACTACACCAACCCTCATACAATCACGTTATGTTTACATACCTCGCTGTATATCTCTGGTCGTCTCTCGAACATAATCGTCCGAGTTTCTACAAAGTGCTTTAACTTTCATTCCAGCGGTTTATAGAATTAAACACTCAAAATCCTGATCAAATCTGCAGCGTTCAGACAAATGTTGGATCAGGTGTTTGCATGATGTAGCGCACTAATATGACGTGCCACATCCGGGTACTGGGGGTTTAAACAACATATTTAAAGTTATAATGTGTAAAATAAAACTGTACCTTGCCCAGGCTGCTCCCGAACTCCATCTCCCGGTGCCTCCACGTTCCACTGTCTGATGGTCTTGTCATCTACCTGTTGCACGACATGAAGATTTCACAGAATCACACAACTGCACAAGCACTTACTAACTGGATTGTCTTCATCTAGATCAAGGAGGAATATGGAATATGCAGGATTAAAATACCGTGCAAAAAGGAAGTGCCACAAAAGCGGGAACAGAGTATCCTATAAAATTTTACACAAAATTTACCCTGTCAAGGAGTTGCTTGAACGTTTTAATTTGAATATTGAAAACTTATGTGAATTTTGTAGCAATGCCAAAGAATCTGTGACTCATCATTTTTTTGATTGTATATATTCAAAAATGTTTTGGTTGGATGTTTCTAATTTCATTTCTAGGTTGTTTGGAACATGTATACAAATTAATCTGTATGATGTCGTTTTATTTATTGTACAGGACAATGTTGATTCCAAAAGTACGATATGCTTTCTTACACAACTTTTTATTTTATTTGGAAAATATCACATTCATGTGAAAAAATGGTCTAAAGCTAAGCCAAATTTTGAACATTTTATAAAAGAGATTAAACCATATGGTACCACATTAGACAAAATTAAGAACAAAAAAGCTAGAAAGATCTATGAAGCTTTTTGTTACTTTAAATTGTTGTAATTTTACCCCTGGCTTGAATTGTTTCACTTTACATATTATGATTGTTTATTTGTTTTTGTACTTGCTGCGAGTTGTATATGTTTGTACAAATATTTGTATAATTTTTGCATAATAAAAAAAAATATATATATATATTTAAATGTTTAACAGAAGTATATATTTATTGTTTTTGAAAGCGAAATAAAGCTCTGTAAAAACCTCTAAAATGAGTAATTTCTGACGTCTAAGAATAAAATGAACGTATTATATATTTTATTCAATGAATTGAAATAAAAAAAAAAGTGGTGTAAAAATGATTCCGCTTGTTGACGCTAGAGCCGTAGAGAGACGCAAACGGCGTTGTCACGTGGTGCCTGATACTTTTCTCAGCGTTGTAACAGGATGGACCAATCACAGCCGTTGCTGGAGAAACAACCGTTTTAAAAATGTGGTTCTTACAAGACTAATTTAATTTTTGTGTAGCAGATTTAAATCGCGATAAATGATTGTTCTTCTTTGCATACAAATGTCTCTAATAAGACAAAAATCGGATGCTGCTCAAAGAAAGACAGGCTTTTTTGAGACACAATACGCCCCCTAGAGCCATAAAAATGTATTGCTCAGTGGATTCAGTAGCGCTGTCTTCCAATTAGACTTGTGCCGGTATTCGGTAATGTGATATATCACGGTAATGAATATGCACGATATTGTTATCGTGGGCACTTCTAAATACCGTGAATAATTATATATTACAAATTATTCAGAATTTTGAATGCATTTTAAGAATACTTCTCCCATCGACTGGTATGCTGCGTGAAAGACGCTTGCGCACTCTGATGTAAACAAGCGCGCATGGCGGAACATGTGAGAGACGCTCTGGTGACCTACGCTAGCCCTAGGACTATTCTTGTGTTTTTGCCCGCCATATACCTGTTTGCCATTGTTCAACCCTGCCTGTTATACCACGTCTCTTTAATAAAAGCTTGCAGATGGATCCACACGTCTCGTCAGCCCTGTTACAGTTACACTGTGTTTCATGAGTGTGTGTCTGTGTGAGGAGAGCAGTAGTGAGTCACACGCGTGTTTTTAACATGATGGAGATTCTGGGCAGCACTTTTCCATATATATGTGGCATCATATTGACTCCATAGTCTCCGCTGCTCCTCCGCTGAGCCCAAACTGTGATCCTCTGGTGGGTAGTATCACACTCAACACTTACCACAAACTACCGATACCATGGTACGGAAATGGCACGTGTATTTACATACCTAACGTTACTTTCACTTCAAAGAAAAGCATATCGCATTACTACGGTAGTGATGGCAGCAGATGCTAATACCATAATTCTTCTTAGATATGTAACATTGTGCCGGTATTCGGTAATGCGATATATCACGGTAATGAATATGCACGATATTGTTATCGTGGGCACTTCTAAATACCGTGAATAATTATATATTACAAATTATTCAGAATTTTGAATGCATTTTAAGAATACTTCTCCCATCGACTGGTATGCTGCGTGAAAGACGCTTGCGCACTCTGATGTAAACAAGCGCGCATGGACATACCTAACGTTACTTTCACTTCAAAGAAAAGCATATCGCATTACTACGGTAGTGATGGCAGCAGATGCTAATACCATAATTCTTCTTAGATATGTAACATTATTTACGTGAGAATACAGTGGTATGTTTTAGTGATATTTGATCACTTTGTAATCATAAATTATGTAGTTAACATACTATATACTAAGGTTATAATTATATATAATTGATGATAATTAAATGTCTTATAACATATAATTATGTGTTTCTGCCCGGTTCACACGGTGTGAAAACGACATTTATATTTATAATAACTGAATGAATGAATAAATAAAATCCTTCACCAACAAACAACTTAAGTGCCTTTTAAAGAATTAAATCATCAAGAATTACAGTGGTGGGCAAAATGATTCGAACACTAGTATTTTCACCAGCTGAAAAGGGTTTGAAGACAGTTATTTACATCTTTTGCTGTAGTGTGTCAGTAGGCATTATCAGTTTCTATTTCCAAATATTAATTTTGCTCCGTCTCCAAGATGCTTCAATAACCTACCTGCTTGGAAAACTATGCGCAAGTGCACCTCAGGCAAAAGCTGCTTTAAACGCAAAGGATGCTCACAGCAAATATTGATTTAATTTAGTTAATAGAAGTTCATTGGTAAAGAAAATCTATTTATGACATTGTTTTTGACAGCATCCTCATATGAAAGCGCACTTTCACTCTCTGACAGCAGATGGCGCTAAACTGCAGAAACGCAGCCGTTACCTGTAAACCCTGCAGACTGTCGGATTGAGTCTGTCTCAGTTGGTTCTGTTTCTTCATGTGACTCCAGACAGACTGGATGATGATCAGATCAGATCTCTGTGTGGAGCACTGGCTGTAGTCAGACAAAAATCTCACTGGATTATTACAATTAATGGCAAAATGAATGTTTGGAAATATAAACTGATATTTCCTACTGACACACTACAGCAAAATACAGAAATAGCTGACTTAAAACCTTTCTTAAGCAGGTGAAAATACTAGTGTTCTAATAATTTTGGCCACTACTGTAAATAAATAGCGTCTTCTGGCATGTCATATTTTTCCTTTGTTTTATTCTATCTAGTGGTTTTGTGAAGATGGAAATGTTGAGGACCCATTAGAAGAACAAAAAACCCTGAAGTTTCGAGGAGATCTGGCCTACAGGAGGAAACAGTTTCAGGTATAAAGAGCTGAATTCACCATTATCTCTCACTGTTATCTGATTCATAAGCTGATTTGTGAGTTATGTCAATGACAGGCAGCTCTGGATGAGTATAGATTCTGCCTCTCTCTCATACCTGCTGGAAACATATCGGTGAAGAGAGATGTGCTGGAAGGGATCGCACGATGCTGCTGTCACCTGGGCAAAAAAGAAGAGGCTCTAAATGCCTGTGAGAAACTGGTAAATATAGTAAATCACTAACTCCGACAACTTGTATGTATGCTTTTGCTGAGGTACTGGTCTATTGACAGAGGACAGAAGTATCCAACTGTCTGATGGCTGTCCAGATAGATGCAGCACTGAGGAAGAACAATATATATATATATATATACACACA